TCGCCAACCTCGATGAAACTCAGTAACCATTTTCATCGGTCTTTGCGAGGAATGGCTAAACAGCGGGGTTAAATTGATAATTTGAAAATTTTAGCACAAGTTAAATCCTTCCTTACAAAAAAAGTTCATGCAGTAATAAATCAAAATCAAATATACAAAAGTTCGAATATCAGACGTCAATTTGGATGTTTTATTCTAAAACTTCTGCAGACATATAAGAATTATGTAGAAAATACATTTATTTAGACTAGTAAAATACTTGACGGATTCCAAGTAATTAAGTTTCAGCGAAACCATTTTTCAATTAAAGAATATAATTACTGTTAAGCTCTCAAAAATTGAGGATTGAATGAATTGTGAATTGTAGGATTAATCGAGAGTATTTATATTGATGGAGAGATAATTATGGTTAGATAAGAATAGTAGGAATTCTAGTTTATCTGTTAGTTAGGGTTTATTTAAGAGTCTAATATCATTCAATATATAATATATCAATAATATTAATGTTCGGTTATTAATATTATCAATTATGAAGTCAGTTATATTTTACCTTTTCTTTATTTTTCGTTTTTTTTTAATTTTCTTTGTGAGTATATTTGGGGAGGGAGATGCTAACTCCTTATAAAGTTAACTATATAAGACATGGTTTTTACATCCTCAAATCATTGCAAAATAACCACAAGAGGTACGGTTCGAACCAATAAAAAATCGGTGGAAAATTAGAGCTAAACCTAAAAGTTGAAGTAAATTCCTTTCTCCACTCTTTTATTCATAACTAGAGATAGAAATAGTATTTTAAAATAATTCAAAATTATTTTAAATACTTAGCTAGATTATACCTTCAAATCCAGTTAGGTAAAAATCCTAAAATAAGAATAGTCTCACACACCTAAATAGAGTGTGGAAATACTCATAAAACCCCCACCCCCAATACTCAATAAAAACCCCCACCCCCCCCCCCCCCCCCCCCAAATGAAAAAAAATAAACAGGAATAGTCGTTGCCATTGTCTTATAAACTGAATATAACAGAGGAAAAAAGAGGCGAGAACGCAAAAAAAAAAAAAAGGAATAGTCGTTGCATTGCTTATAATGGAATAAACAGAGAAAAAGAGGAGAACGCGAAATACTACTCTTTAGATCCAATCGTTAACCTCTTGATTGAAAAACATAAACAAAAAAGTTTTGTATACAGAGAGATATAAGCTAGAGATGAGTGCATATAGCACTTCAGCGTAGGGAAAGGTTAAATTCTCCATTCCCCAATGCTTAAAGAAACAAAATTAAGAAGTAAAAAACTATCATATCTTCTTAACCTTGTACAATCATTCTGAGATAGAAAAGATATATATAATTCAGAGATAAACAACAAACTATTCTTCCAAGAGCATCAATCCCAACATAGTTTTGGATCAAGGCTTAGTTGTTTTTGTTATTTTTGCAGTCTTTATAGTCATAGCAGTAGAATCAAGCAGTACTTCAGTTTGCTTATTTTCTTCAACAACATTCAAGCCATTAGAAGTCATAACAATCTCCTCTCTATATTCATTGCTTCTCATAACTGTCATAACGCTATTGATCTTTGGAGGCTTCTTTTCAGGTTTTGGTTGTGGCGCAGGTCGATTCGTAGCACACTTTCTGATACAAAACAAACCCAAAATAGACAATCAGAATTTTAAATGATATATATATATCAAACTTTTAAATTATGACGTTATATATACTAATATATATTATATATCATATTATATATAATAATATATTAATACTATATATATATAAAATGAACAGAAATAAAAAACAAATAAACACCAGTATTGGGAAGATTGCACAGACCATGGTAGAAGCCTTATATATATAAATGAACAGAAATAAAAACAATAAAACCCAGTATTGGAAGATGCACAGACATGGTAGAAGCTTTATTTCTCTGGTATGGCTTCAAGTTTGGCAAATTGACAGTGGCCTTTGGCAAGAAGCTGCTACCCACAAGAGCCATCACCAACTATCCAATTTTTGGTCTTTTCTTGTTTACTAGATGCTCTCTTGTTTAGATTGAACTTATCTATGTGAATAAACAACTGAGTCCAGAAAAACAATTTATAGGCAAAAGCTTCCCAGCAACTTCAATTATGAGGATATTTTTTATTTAAAGGGTTAATTACTTATTAGTCCCTAACATTATCTAATTAGAAACTAAAGAGTAATTAGCCTAATGCATAAAATTAGCCCTGAACTTTAGGGATTTACCTATATAGTACCCTAAATTTTTTGAAAGACCGGTCATGTTTCTGAAGTTAAAATTTGTATTACTCTCTCCGTCACAAAAAAATAATTCATCTTTCCTTTTGATTTGTTCTAAAATATAGTCAATTTTCCTTTTTCGCATTAGAGTTAATCCTTACATTGCCTACTATACCCTTATTAAATTTTATATTATTTTTAATAACCCTCATTAATTTTTACTTATTATTTATTTATTACCAATTTTATAGATTGCTCATGTGTTATTTAAGATGAACAGGGAAAATTCGTATCTACCTTCTCGCGTCACAAAAATAATCATCTTTCCTTTTGATTTGTTCCCTAACAACTTATATGTCAATTTCCTTTTTTCGCCATAGAGTTAATTGTCCCTGTACCCATTGCCTACTATAACCCTTTTATTAAAATTTTATATTAATTTTTAATAACCCTCAATTAATCGTTTACTTTATTAATTTCCAATCTTCTATCATTGGGCTCATGTATTGCCTACTATACCCTTATTAAATTTTATATTATTTTTAATAACCCTCATTAATTTTTACTTATTATTCCAATTTTATAATTGCTCATGTGTTATTTAAAGTGAACAGAAAAATTATATGAATAAAATTATCTTTTAACTATAATAATTGTTATTTCTTAATCTGTATGAAAATAGAAACTGGACTATCTTTTTGGACCGAAAGAGCAAAAATAATCACCATCAGGGATGATGGGTCCTTAAAATTTATTATTAAAAGTTACACCCATCAATCCCAAAGTATAAAATTATTACTAAAAAATAGGTCTCTTGAAAACTTTTTTTTTAAGCATCGGGAGAAGAGAGAATTAAATCCGAATCTATTATCAGGCCGTATATGCACTTCCACGAGACTATTCCTTGTTGTGCAATGTCTTGAAAACTTTGAAATCTCATATTGATAAAAACCTAAAAAGAAGTGTAATTTTAGCCATTAGGTAAGAGTAAATGGTTTTGAAATGGTCAACTTAGGTTTGCTCTAGCACTTCTATGTATGTTAAGTTTAATTAATACATAATAATGCACATGTTCTGTTTTTTTTTTTCATTTTATTTAATTCAGAGTTTCCTAACCAGTTAATTAATTAAAAACTAAATAATAATATACTGGATTGTAATAACATGTCATGATCAAAGAAATAATAAAATAGTTTTGTTGGAGAAAGAATGCTGCCAAAAGTTATTGAGTACTTATCGAAAAAAGTTATTTTCATATACACGGTTTGTTGACCAACAAGCAAAATAATACAACCCATATGAAAGATGAAAAGTGTTTTTTTAATACTTAAAATAACAGCCTCATGAACCACGTGAAATTATTTTATTTCAAAATATTGTAATAAATGTTATATTTGAAATTTTATTTTAAAAAATGTAAATTTAACCTTAAATATTAAAATAATGTCATTTAAAAATCTTGATTTACTATTTACACTTTTATTGTTGTCATTATTTCCGATCGTCATCGTTAATAATGTCGCTGTTGCCGTTGCTATAGTTTCCGGTTTTGTTATCGCTGTTGTCACCATTGCTGTTGCTGTCGTCGCCGTCGCTAGAAGTCGATCATCGTCGCTGAAAGTCAGTCGCCGAAAATCTATCGCCAGAAATCAGTCGTGGTCACTTATCACCGTGGTTGAATCACAGAAGCTAAGGTTACTTTTGGGATTACTTAATTTTTTTAACCAAAATTGATATTATGTTAATTTTTAAACTTTTCTGACATTTTGTTTAATTTAAAACCTTATTTCTGGTATTTGTTAAGTTGCTCTCTATTTATTTAAATCTGAAATTACCGTTACAGTCTATTGACTATATCGCACAAGGACGACCAGTTCGGGGTAAAAAAGAAAAAGAATGCTATAATATACCCTATGGTTGACTTCGCTAGTCAATCCTTTGAAAGTGTGAATAATATATAAATATTGCTGCGTACTAAATGGTAACTTTTTTAACGATCAATTTATTTTGGTACAATTTACTTAATTTTTTAATTTAATTATCAAAATTTTATATTGGAATTGATTTTTACAATTCAACTTAATACGTAATATTATAAGAGCTGAAGAGCCTTGGTGCAATGGGAGAATTGTTGTCGTGGGCTCGTTTAACTTAGAGGTCATGGTTTAAGTCGTAGAGACAATATCTTGTGAAAATACATGAAATGCCGCATATGATAGACCCAAAGTGGTTCGACCCTTCTCCAGACTCTGTGCAGCAGGAGCTTTGTACACCTAACTGCAATATTACAACAATAACATATACCAATTTATTTTATTATTTTTACATAGCTACAATGAGATTAAAGATGACTTTTTTGGGTGTAAATCATCGGTATACGGATCGTATTATCAATAATCGCCTAATCCAGTTCAGGGTTTAGTCAAAGTTAATACTCTTTGTCTCTCTCTGCAGGTATGTAGTGAAATCGAGCCCGAGAGTTCTTCCCACATACCCGGTCTGTATTGCCAACTGAACAACAACCCGTAGGTAAATTAAAGCTAACTTTAGTATCTGGTTGCATTATAGATTTCATACAATCCATGAAATTGGGTTGGAAAACAAAACCAAATTTATGGTTTACTAGTTTTTTTTTTAAAAAAATACTCCATCCGTCGCAAAAAAAAAAAAAGTTTATCTTTTCTTTTTGGTTTGTCCCAAAATATAATCCAATTTTCTTTTTTGTATTATAGTTAACCCTTAAATTATTTATTATACCCTTATTAAATTTTATTTTATTTTCAATAACTTTCATTACTTCCTACTTATTATTTCAATATAATAATTGCTCATGTGTTATTTAAGATGAGATAATAGGAAAGTTATATAAATAAAATTGTCCTTTAACCATAATAATTGCTGCTTTCTTAATCTGTGCGAAAATAGAAAGTGAACTATCTTTTCTGGGATGAAGGAAGTAGCAATTATTACGAAGTCCCCAGATTTAAATCAAATATACTACTCAGAACTTTAATTTTCAGTATTACACTACATAGTTCCTAAGCTTTAATTACGTGATATATATATATAAAATGCTGAAGCGAAAAAATAACTTTAAAATGCTGAGTTGGCACCATATGGTTTCAATATTCCTTTTCCTTTTGTTTACAAATTTTCTAATTTTTAATATACTCTTTTAATATTTTTTTCCTTTTTCTATAAAATTTTTAATTTTTACTATAATTTGATTGGATTAATTTAAAATTTTATTTATTATCTATAATAAAATAATATTTTAAATTTTAAATTTAAAAGCTGAGAGTTGAATCTTTTATCATCTTATCGCCTAAATTTGAGCTTCCATTCATTAGCTCTTGATTCATTTATATTTATCTCTCAACCTATAGTGTAGTAAGTTCTTTACGTAGAAACTAGGCGAGTTGACTTCTTCATTTTAAGTGGTACCCTTTTAGATGCAAAAACTCAATCTGGTAATCTTCATATTAAATTATTGTTTTAGTTATATTTTTGTTCAATTTTCGGTCAATGTATAGAATCCATGTGAGACTTTTCCTTACTTCAGTTTATATTTTATTTCTTTTTTGCAAGATATATATCATTTAGATTTTTGTTTGATAATATCATATTTATATTCTCTTGATTGTTTCATTGTATCTTTTTATGTTGTTTTCTCTTGCAGAGTTACACGTAAGTTCATTCTTTTTCATGGTAAATTAATTTCTTTTGGTGCCTATTTTGTTCAACAACATTTGTATACCTTCTTTCGATTGTATTAATTTATTTATGTCTTTAGTTTCTCTAGTTGAGACTATCCATAAGTAAATTGATTAATATCTGTCATTTACTTGCAGATCTTTTTGGGGCTCATCTCAGATGTGTTTTCATTGCATTGGGGTATTAGCATTAAATTTCTTATTAGTTTATATTGTATGGGTGTTTTCATTGAATTCTATTGGGTTACCATATGTTATATATATCTTAATCATTCATGCTACTCTTAGTAGTTTGTCTTCATTTGTATCTTTTTATGTTGTTTTTCTCTTGCAGAGTTACACGTAAGGTTCATTCTCTCTTGTTCATTGCGTAAATCTAATTTCCCGTCTTTGGTGACCATATTTATGCTACTGTCTCAGACAACCATTTGTATACCTTTCTTTCGATTTTATTAATTTATTTATATGTCTCTAGTTTTCTCTTAGTTGAGTACTATCCATATGTAAATCTTGATTAACTATCTGTCATTTATCTTGTGCGATGTATCCTTTTTGGTGGTTCATCTTCAGATGTGTATTCTCATCATGCATATGGCTCAGGTTTATTAGCTATCTCACAATTTCTTATTTAGTCTTATATTGTATCTGGCGTCTGCTCTTTACTGAAATTTGAATGTCCTATGTGTGGATACAGCGTTACCTCAGCTATTGTCCCTACTATTATATAGCTGAGAGTTATAACCTAATTATATTATATTATTAACTTAGTGTTATATATATCATATAGTAGTCATTTATCTTATATCATACTCACTACTATTATCAAACCTTTATGTGCTAAGAAAAATATTGTTATTAGTTAGGGTTTGCTAAGGCTCACTCTTCTTTTGCTTTTTTTTCTTTTTTCTTTCATAAGCATAAAATGTCAGAGTTGTAATCTATACTTAAATGTCAAGAAAAAAAAAATGTTAACTTATCCCAAAGGGTAACTAATATATATCAAATTATGCTAGAAAAATATTGTTATATAGGTTGCTAACACTCTTTCTTTCTTTTTTTTTTTTTTATAAGCAAATTCAATTTATTT